AAACTTCTGCTATTCGGTCCCTTATCAGTGCTTCGATCACTCGACCTTTTCTGTTTTCCATGGTAACATCTTTTGTCATTTTTGTTCTTTTTGTTCGTCCCAAATGAAGTATTATTTCAACTCACAAGTGTTCGCGCGCGCGTCGATCGCGATGTCACGCGGACTTATCTAATGGCGCACTTATCTACGGGACTTTAGGGTACATTTCTGTTGCCTACTGTTCTCTACCCATGCTTTCACTTTTGTGTGATACTAGTTCTCATTTCCGAACTGGTTATTACAATGTGATCGCTCGCACATATCATTTACTAGAGGAGTTTTCCTAGTCGCAGCTTCAGTAATTCAATAAATTTACCATTCAGTGGTTCATTCCCTCTCAACTAGCCAACTTTAAGATGGAATTCCTCCATCTCGGCGGGGGGGGGGCGGGTGTAAGCCGTACGTTTGTGCAGATCGCCTTTCGCTTCAAACGCCGCAATGTTTCCGTTGAAAAAAGCGTTGTTGCTTCGTAACGCTATACTTTCAATTGTTCTATTGATAGTTGGTTTCATGTCGGTGAATCGTCGATATTTTGTGGTGATAAGGAGTCAAAATGGGCCACGCTCCAAGGGTAACTGCGGCTGCGGGGTCTCAGGAGATCCATCAACCGTGAAGCCTTCCTTCCTCCTCCTTTTTTCTTCCTCCTTCTTCCTTTTTCTTCCTTCCTCCTCTCATCCTATTCCTTATTTTCCCCTCCCCTAAATGCTTGACAGAAGATGCGATAAGAATACATCTCTAGACCCTCGCAGCGAGAGAGCGTCCGGTTCTGCGGCGATTCTGGTCGTCTGCACTCTCGCCTTCGAGATAGTAATCCCTTCCTTCTCCCAGCCTCAAGCCGCAACGAGCAGAGTCGGCAGAGCTTATTGTTAGTGTCGCCAAGTGGAACCTGTCATCAATTCATGTCGCTAATTGATTTCAATGAGATGTCGATTGATGATATCGAATGAAAGTTTCTGAAAATCGTCAAGGGGTAGGGCATGCGAAATGACAGGACTAGCAGCTGCTGCGACCAGGATTTCTCGCGCTCGTTATCGCGTGTGTCTCTGCGTTCTTGCAGGAAAATGCGGCTTACAGCTCAGAAAAGTGGTGCCTCAGTATCGCTTGGGATTCTTGTTTCTACTGCTTCCTTCTTCGGTATGTGACAAGACAATCGTCCTTCGCCGCTCTGTAGGTCGTCGCCTGCGACTCACCCCCGTTAAAATGACTATATTTTTTAAGGCGCAGATAGCGATAATAGATAATGTGTAGCCAAAAACGCCGCGCACATCGCCGCGCGACGGAGCAACAGTTTACGATTGTCTTGACCTTTTCCCCCTTCTTCAGCCACTTTCTCGAGGGAGGCGCGAAAAGCAGGGGATGATGATTCTTGTCTTATCGTAAGCGTGAGGGTAAGGAACTCCGAGAGGGATGAACCCACTTGTGTAGAATAGTGCCTTTTTTCTTACCTGTGCAAATTTTCTACACTTTTAAGCTTATAAAAAATAGCAATATAGCGTTCAGAAGTGCCTAAGTCAATTCAGCGCAGGTAAAAAATAGTGACGTGGAAATGCGTTTGCTAAGAGGTGAAAGTACCGTAGCCTGCGCTGTGTGCCAGTGGAAAGAGGCAACACTTCATCCCGACTTTGCCACACAGTCTCAAGAAATCGTAGGAAGAATGCCAACTTTACAAATGAAGTTTTGGCTGCGTCTAATGGCTGAGCCCTTTCCCGGAAGGAACTGGGGCTGCAACTCGGGGGAACTGAGCCCCAGTGCAACGAATTGCGCCTTTTCAATGATTCTTTCTTCCACATAGATTGCATTCTGACTCGAGAAACACTCCAAATTGCTAGCTGTACGTAATTTTTACCAGAGACAATTTCCTTGTGTCCAGAGGAGGCATCATATTTCCGTGCAGGACACCTTCAGACGTCTTTGGATGCATCTTTGAAGATCTCGTATTCTAGCAAGGGGCAAAGGGTAGTTTCTCATATACCCATGCTGAGCCGAGCTTCAGTCTATTCGTACAGTACAGTACGAGTACACGAATGGTAAAAAATCGAGCGCTGGCACTCAAGTGTAGCTCAAGAGTGCCAATGCTGACTGGTAGCTGTCGTTTAGACGCTGCACTCTATAAGGGCATTTGGTTTCCTGCTTCGGCTCGATGGCTCACTGCTTGTCTTACTTTCTTCTCCCTTGCGAGCATATTCTTGCACTTTTCGTCTTCAACTCCGTTTTCCTTTCGCACAACTCATTTTCCAGCAGTCCCTCGCTTTTCCTTTTTTTCACGCCTTTTCTTGTCATATACCTCGTTTCTACCTTTTTTTCATACTGCACCTTTTTGGATTCCTTTGTAAGTATTGGGATTATCCCTTTGCAGTGTATAGAAAGGACAAATTGTGTTGTTATTTGCTCAGCTGTGCTAGTACTATTACTTCTTTTTCCTTTTACCTGGCCTCCATTCCCCAGGATCAGTCAGATTGTACAAGACTTATTTGCAATAATAAAGCGCCTACATAGTTATCCTCTGGAAGATCATCCGCAATTGATTGTGATATCCTTACACGCATGTACTATTTCAACGATTTGGAGCCGTAGTCGGGTACATGGCGCATCTCGAATTGGCCGTTCATCGCCGTTCTCTACTTCGACTATTTTTGTATGTTTTCATATATGGGTGATTGTTTCCTGTTTCAACCAGGGCACATCATCGGTTGGGGATTTTGGTTGAGTCCGTGCGACCCCACTCCCCTCTCCCCTAGCTCCCTCCTTCTCTGATCGAGCTGTCGAGCGGGGAGGATTGGAATACAGCACATTTGCAGCGGGAAAAACCGCGAAGAAAACACGACCCCAGCTCCCCCAGCGACCAGAATCCCCTAAGAGGGGGGTTGCATTTGGTCGCTAGGGGAGCGGGGGTCATATTTTCCTCGCAGTCTATGTGCCCTGTTTCTAATATGGTATATACGTGTAGTTTCGTCTTTAAATGATCCGTTTTGAACTGAACCTTTGAAGCGCGAAGATGCGGCGTAACAGCAGTGACCATGAAATTTTCTAGAAAGTTATGCTGAGCTAACTATTAGGAAGGGGTACATCATGAAAACGAGCTAGATGGTCGCTTCATTGCAACCCCGTCCTGTTTCGCTCCAAAAGCGAGAGAAAGCTTTCTAACTCACAAGACCAGCTCGCTCGCCTGCGTAGCTCCTTTTACCTGCAATGTCCAAGGAAAAGCTCGAGGGATGACAATAACAAAATGAAAACGGTGTCTCGTAGATCCGCAGTTTGCAATGCCTCACAAAATTGGGTGGTGCATAGCATGCAGCTTATTATAATCGAAATGTAACGGAACGG